ATATTTCAGAAGTATAGGGAAAAAAACTATTGAACACTTTATTTATTATTATTTATTAGTCTAAGTAAATGAAGGGCATTTTCCATCTTCTTTCTTCAGTGACGTGCTCTCATTAACGACACATTTTCTGATATGAAGTGTGAATGCACTGAAACAAGGTGCCAGCAGGAGCAGTGCAGCAGTAGTGACACAGCATTATCATGATGACAGAGAAAAAGTCATATTTAAGCACAAGGAGCTTAGGTGGTGTTTTCCCTGGAAATTTAAGTAAAATTAATATCTTAATATCTTAGTTTAATAATTATAACAGTATCTGCACAACACATTACTTAATAAAACTGAAAAATATTTTCTACCTGGGATCTTATAGTTTGAAGTCAGTGTGGGATAAAGAAGGATGATTTTGAACAATGAATCATGCAAAGCTACTTAAGCAGAGCACCAGATTAAACTATATTGGAATTGGAAATTGGCAATATTAATTTAAAAAAATAAAGTAAATAAAATTAAAATAAATAATTATTTATAAAATAGAATTCATAGAAAATCATTACATAAAAACTATATCTCTGATGCACAAAATTGAAAATTATATTTTGTTTTTCTTTGGGAGTAATTTTCTTAGGTATCTATGATGCTTTTATCTTGTGCAAGTTACAAGAAATCACTGTTGTAAGTCAAAGGTAAAAAGACAGTTTGCTCAAATTATTAACGTTCTGTTGCTTTTACTAGTATAAAATGTTTCTTCCATGTTTTCTTTCATGTTCTTTGTGTGTTCGGGTGTTACAGAAACATCTTTTCTGAATTTTTCCCTTTTCTGGAGCTTATATATATATATATATATATATATATATCCATATTTAGGGGTCACACGCATTTCCAACGCCTGAGACATCTGTATGCACTGCAGCACAGTGCTGGCCTGAAGTGAAATTAGGCACTAACACTTTATACTTTATGCTATGCTAAGTTAATAAGACAATAAACCACACCATGCATAATTACCCAGCCAGACACTCAGCATTTACCTGAAAGGGCGTTTGCCCGCTGTTATTCTTTGTGTCTTTATTGGCTCCCCGGTAGAGCAGAATTCGTGCACAGCTTTCCTGTAACAAACAGCATCGATTAACGTATCTTTAATGCAAGTGCAATACACAGGGCGGGATTCTCTACTGGCATTCCCCTGTGACATCATTGCTTTTATTTAGTTTGTTGATGAAAACAAAAGCAGGTTGATCTTTTTTAAAAACACAGTTTTAAAGATCATTGCATCAAATTTCGGTACGGTCGGGGGAAGGCGATACTTGATTTGTACTCTGTGAAATACCTTGTTGTATAAAGCACAGATGTGCAAGGCAGTGTTTCCAGAGGCATTCTGGGAGGAAGAATCCGCCCCGTAGAATAGGAGGTGCTCCAGATGCTGGGAGTTACCATTCTGACAGGCCTGAGAATGAAAACAGTTTGGTAGTAAGACCGAAAGAAAGAGCGAGAGCAAGGCGTCAAAGAGGAAAGATTTATGTGGTTGTTTAATAGAGAGAAAAGAGAGGCGGGGGGCAAGCAAGGGTGAAGAGGAGACAGTGGCCAAAGGTGGCGGTAAAACCAAATTTAATTAACACAACCTCCAAACTCAGGGGCAATAAAACATGAGAATACAAATATACAGTATGAGAGTAATAAAGTCATTGCTAGAAAAACGAGCATCATTATTCACGCAGACTCAATGAGCCACGTGATTTACTTATTTTTCTCATTTAAAGTGAGAGAAAAGTCAACATGTTAAAGTACATGAATAACTGTTTTATTTAATATAATAATATAATAGAAACCATGTACTTCACTGATCTTGAAGTCAAAGCTTTTTAAATCGTTTTTGCCTGAAATATCAACTGTGTCTCAAACATGCTTTAAACATTTTTCACTTATTATACAAATAAATAACGCGCTCATTAACCTTGCAGCTATTACATATCATAGCCCTAAGCTAAGTTATTTTATCTCTTCAGATTTTTTTATTTGTTTGTAATGTTAATTAATTTAACCACTGGTTCTTATATGGGACTTTTCTGTACATAGCAGTGTAACAGATGATCCTATACAAATAACACTGGGCCACCTTTACAGGCTACATTTAAAATTCAAGCATATCATTAACTGTTATCTCATCATTATAGAGAAATGAAGCCACAGTTATAGAAATGCAAGAATATTTGTCTTCGACGGCAAAGTGTACAAAACAGGAGAGAGATTTTCTGAAGGTGAATGTAAATATATTAATGTACTCAACACAAAGCTGAGTGACAGCTGAACACATTTCCATTTGTTTTGCTATTTTCAAGTAAAATTGTGCTTTAAAGACAGCCTTGTGACCTCATGAATTTCTTCTTTTTGGCTCCAAAGAGACATATGAGGGGTATTTCCTAAAGTGTGGTTTGCATAGGCCCTTACGCTCCAAAATCAGTGCCCTGATCAGTGTTGCTGCGACTGCTGCAGACTCACTGGGCTATTATTAACTGAATAATTGACACGAGTTAATTTATCAGTGATGTGGTTGTGTGACTTAATTTTTTTCATTGTTATAAAAGTTTTAAAAAAATGTTAAAAGTCAGGAAAACTGCCAGGCTGACCTACAGCACGCTATACACTCAAAACAGAAAACATGGTTTAAAAAAAACCCTCAATGCATTTAATACTGACATGCAAAATTTTGCCCTCATATTATTAAAATTGCTCGAGTTACAGTCTCCTGGAGTACATATGGCACACAATGTTTAATCCCTCATTTCCTAAAGCACTTTTAAACTGCACACCCTACATGACAGAAATCGAAATGGTGCAGTTTTTGATGTCTTTCTGTCTCTATAACATATCCCATGATGCTGACGCTCAGTCATGATTAACAAAATGAGATTTAGGGTTGATATTGTGGAACTTGAAGTGAATGTAAAATCGATTTGGTTGCAGTTTTTTGTGTTTTGGCCCAGAAAATTTTATGAGTATCTTTTCTCTATTAATGAAATTTTGAGTATTCAAAAATACTGACAAATATAGCAAACTAAAAAGTGCTATATTTATATCACAAAATATTCATGGTTTAGCATCCTCTCATTGAATGTACAACAGTCATTATGGAAAATTAACAGCTGATTCCTAGAGGCGGGCTGACTTGATGTGAAATTACCCTGCACCCAAATGCAACAGAACAATCTTCAATCTGTCAGACATAAAATAAAATGTAGCTTCTTTTAGTGGCCTCGTCCAAAAATCTTATTAGTGTTGAATTTATGAGTCAAATCATACTTAACGCACACACACCAACGGTTTCTTTTGGAGTCCCTGTCTGACAAACAGAGCCGAGGAGACAGATGCTTACGCAGTGAACACACTGAGATGAACAAGCTGATACCTTCATTTTTCCTCGCGGCCTTCCCTGTCCACTTCACAGCTGTTACATGAGGCCACTGAAGCAGGATGGGTAGGATGTGATGTGAAAGGTGAAGTGTTTCATGGCATGAATGGGTTTTGACGCAGACACACACTGGAACACAGAGTAGACTGGTACATTACAAAAAGTGATGTGGCATACTTCTGCAATATGAACAACAAGAACATGAGCTCCAAAAGTCCAGACGGCTTTTTCTGGTCACATCTCAGCTCCCAAATAGATGTAAATCAGGCCACTGACCTCATTAGACTGAAAGAGTTTGTTTCAAGGATCCTCAAACAGAAAGTTTTACAGTTGATTTGGTGTTTTCGCTTTTAGAGATTAACTGTATTTATTCTGTCCTGGATTTGCTTGAGGTGACTTATTTTTTTTTAAAAAAGTGTTTACCTGATGTGTTTCATCCCAGCCGTTCTCGTCCCTGATGCCCAGTTTGGCGTGATGGTAAAGCAGTGTTTCGCAGCAGGAGGTGTCGCCCCCTGTCAGCACAGTGTGGTAAAGAGGCGTCAGCCCTCGCCGGTCCTTATAATCTGGGGACGCCCCCAGAGAGAGCAGAACCTGCATGATGGCACAAAAGAAAAAGAAAAAACCTCATGCTGAAGCCTTTGTTAAACTCTGACAGTAATGATAAAGATAAATTACTATGATAAATAGCAATGATTTAAAGGGGACATGTTTGAAAAGAAAATCCACTAGACCCAAAGCTATTTCCACTTGGTTTGCGTCCAGAAGAACATAATTATATTAAAAATGGACAAATATAAGGATCTCTATAAAGATGGCACTTTCTTAACTTTTTTAGACCTGTGTTCAGAAACAAATCTTCCGGCT